AGACAATTTGCTGAAAATTTCGTTCAAATTGATCCACTATGAACCGAGATTTTAGCAATTGAATTTTCCGCCTAGCCTCGATCATCATTACTAAAGTCGGTAGGATAAAAAACTGTCCAACGGCAAATCGGAACCTAATCCAATAAAAATCGCAGGCTAGCGATGCCATCGAGAGTTGATTATGGTCTGTATAAGTTAATGAATGTCTAATTAATAATTTAGATAACATTTCAGGCCTAAAGAAAGACCAGCAATAGACAGATTTAGATTTTGCATAATGTATGTTTAATAAAATTTAGAAGTAGTATATCCATATCCATATAAGTATATATGTTAATTAATATACATCAATGTATACAATGTCTTTCATAAAACATTTGAGGGATTGTGAAAGATGGATCTCTAAAAGGAATCTTATCCCCAAAAATAGTTCAGTTGATGAATTGATTCTTTTATTTTGATCCAGTGATATAGTCTACAAGTATACTGATGGAGGAGTCAGAGAGAGAGAGAAAGAAGGAGAGAGGGAGAGAGAGAGAGAGAGAGAGAATGGTACCTAGCTAGTGAGAGAGAGAGAGAGAGAATGTTATGGTTGAGAGAAGCTGTCTATCAGATGGTTGTATATTAAGGGAGCACCTGTTTAATGTATAGGGTCCTTATCTTTACCTATATACATCTATATCATTAATCTTTGTCATACACTTTAAATCATTAACACTACTAAACTACCCTCGGCTCATCCACATTATCTTCTCTACGAGGAGTAGAAGGGGGGTGAAGACTCTACCTTATAATTACCATTATGTTGTAGTAAATAGCTGAACAAATTAAAATGAAATGAAATGGGGTTTAACGTCCTACTTTTCTACACCAACTAGTATATGCGAAAAAGTGTGCTTAGATGGAAGGGGGGGGGGTGTTGGATGGACGAATGGTTAGCACGTGCACGCTGTATCATAAGGCCTGTCATTGAGTCAACTGCCGTGGTTTCGAATCCCCGGTTGTACGTGACAAGGAGTACATGTACGAGCAAGCGAATTATTGAAATAAAAAATTAAATTAAACCATATGTTAGTCCCTGAATGACCTAGTTTGTGTCGAGTGGATGTTAAACCCCATTTCTTTCTCTCTCTCTCTCGCTTGGAGGGAAATTATGCATCTACTCTTATTTCGAATTTCAACTGTCAAGGGTTCTTTGGTATTTTGATCACACCACATTATAGATAGATAGATAGAAATGGGGTTTAATGTCCACTCGACACAAACTAGGTCATTTCGGGACAAACATATGGTTTAATTTTATTTCAATAATTCGCTTGCGCATAGGGGTCTTTAGCAGTGGGAGGAAACCGGAGGATCCGGAGAAAACCCACGAGACTGGACAGGCGACCTTACTCCTTGTCACGTACAACCGGTGCATCGAGACCACGCCAGTTGACTAAATGACAGACTTTATGATACAGCGTGCACACGCTAACCATTCAGCCATCCAACCCCCCCCCCCCCTATAACGTTGGAATGACCAAACCCTGACATCGCTACTTCCGGCCCCAACACCACATTAAATACACCCAAATTGATTAAGACAACAAAATCAAAATATCACAGGTAGATCATCTCACAGTTTGGATTCAATCAGATTAAAAAATGAGGCCCATCAAAAATAATACCCAACATGTGGCACTGGTTTGTTTATATCATCTGGTTTGTTTATATCATGACGAATGTTGGAAAATTTAAATTGATCATATTTTCATAAATTATAGATTCGGCCTTCACAATATTTTAGTTTGCAAGTAATTCAAAAATGACAAAAGTTTGAAAATTTCCAATTGAGGTGGAACTGGCCGGTCTGTTTATATCGTCTGCAGAAAATGATGAATGTTGGAAAATTTAAATTGATCATATTTTTATAAATTATAGATTCCGCCTTCAAAATATTGTAGTTTGCAAGTAATTCAAAAATGACAAAATTTGAAAAAATTTCAATTGATCATATTTTTGTAGATTATAGATTCGGCCTTCAAAATATTGTTGTTTGCAAGTAATTCAAGTACCAGAATATTATACCCCTGTATTGTCAAACATTATTGGTTAGTGTTAAACAGAGTTCCATGAAACAACACATAACCAGAAAGAATCTCTCTTTTTATAAACAATATTTTATTCTCAGAAAAAGATTGAGGAACAGGGGCCTGTTTCACGAAATTTTAACTAAGATAAAATCTAAATTTTAGTAATTTGATTGGATAATATTAGACTGATTTTAGTGCTTAACCAATCAAAATTGAAGTATATACTAAAATTTGGATTTTATCTTAAAAGATTTCGAGAAACAGGGCCCACTTCTATATTACCTCTCTCCAAAGAGATTAGTTCTAATCAGTGATCTGGAATACGTTCTGAAATACAGGGCGTTATATCTTCTGAATGAGAGGGAAGCTGATAGCAGACCCTTCTCAGTGGATCTGCCGTTTACAACCCACTCCAACACAAACAGGCATGTTTCTAAGTCGAGCATTAAGTCATTAACAGAGATTGGTATGGCAGTCTTCTCAGTAATGTTGGTGATAACAAGATGAAAGTTAGCAATTTGTCTTGGAACATATCTACAAGATTTGCAGGTTGCCAGGAACATGTATCATTCCAATTGTTAGATATGATAAGAGGAGGTATTAACTGATACTAAAGTAGAACGGTGATTAGAACCATGTACTTAGTACCAACAAAAACATACCAAGATAACACCCATACAAATTAACATTCAGGTTATCCGTCCAAATTTACACAAACAAAACATATATTAAAGGGACTATAACACTCTTGCTGGCTTGAAAGCTCCAGAAAATAAATAATAGCCTTATTCTAAGTACTAGAAGTGTCAGTGTCCTACCTGTTGTGTAAATTATCCATTAAATCCTATTTTACTTGTCCAAAGGGTTCAAAAATATTTTTAAATCCAAGTCACATTTGAAAAGCTTTACGTCAGGCTTTTTAAATCATTTAGTTGAATTTTTCCAATTTTTTAAATTAGGTGTGTTAAGATTTGGAATATTGTAAAATAGTACAATTTGTTGACCAGAATAAAGATTGGGACATATTATTCAGTTACAACAAGAGTGGTATTGAGCCTTTAACCCAGCATCAGTGTTACATTTAGGTAAATTACTTTAGCAGTTTTAAAGGAGCTAAATCGCTAATATTTTGGACTTAGAAATTGACACAGTTAGGTCGCAATGCATATAATAACATAATATGAATGTAAATGAACTGATTTACATTCAATCGTTTCCGTTCTTATGCTAATTTCAAAACAGTTATGTTCGGCAAAATACGCCAGAAGTCTCAATCGAATGGCAACATCTAGCGTCTGGTTATTCCAGTCTACACCATTGGAATTTCTTGTGCATGCTCTCCAGAAAAGAATATGAGTCACCGTTTGACATGACTTGTGGAATATGTCTAGTCTCGTTTTTTGAGTCCCTTGTTGCAAATGGCAATGAAACGTTCGTGTACCAATCGTAAAATGTTTATTTTGTCTTACATGTTGGATATCAGAAGCCCATCTTTTCCCGGTAAGATCACAACATCAATGTTGATTTAAATTGACAAATAATTCGTGTTTTCAATGTCAAAGACTTTGGATGATATTGAGTTAGAGAATTAGCTACTTTAAACATACATTAGTAAGAGCTAAATCTGCCTATTGCAAGTCTTTATTTATGCTTCAGATGTTATAGAAATTATTAATTAGACTTTTATTTATATGACAAGCTCAAAATCAACTCTGTAGACCCACGGATGGCTTGGATACAGCTTGAATTTAGACAGTCGGCCATTTAATAATTAAATATGTCGGTAGAGTTATCGTCGACCAATCAAACATTTGCGAATTCGCGGAGACGGTGCAGAGGGAGTTGGATGCCTATTTCAAGTCCAAACTTCCAACAGTGATAATCTGACTGAAATTTTCAACATTTTCTTTGTTTTATCATCTATTTTGAATTATTATATCAAGAATGGCCAACTCTTTATCAAAATCTTGACTAATGTATCTTTAATTATTGTTTTTGAAAATAAAAGGTGTAAATTTTTATTTTGAGGTGAGACTGTGGGCCTGGAGGCAGGTAAAGGGAAGAGGGGGGGGTCAAACAATGGCCTTGTTTAGTTGCAAAGAATTTGAAAGTTATGTTATCCAAATAGAGAGAGAGAGAGAAAGAGAGAGAGAGAAATGGGGTTTAACGTCCACTCGACACAAACTAGGTCATTCCGGGATTAACATATGGTTTAATTTTATTTAAATAATTCGCTTGCTCGTAGGGGTCTTTAGCAGTGGGAGGAAACTGGAGGACCCAGATAAAACCCATGAGGTTGGACAGGAGCCCCTACTCCTTGTCACGTTGACTCAATGACAGGCCTTATGGTACAGCATGCACATGCTAACCATTCGGCCATCCAACACCCCATTATCCAAATAAGTTGTCTGCCTCTCCAAGTCATGGGATTGCCTAATTCTAGTAGCCTACTCTACAAATTAATACATATTCTAGACCACTAGAAAATCAAAGCCTATTTGCCGTTCGTATTAAACACAAATACATAATATTCCCTCAAAAGTCCTTGAAACTATTCAGAAACGTTGACGGAAGTATGTCTTAAAATATCTACTATTTCTCCAACGGACGATTTTATTGACTTAAACAATTTTCTCTTCCCAACAAATTACACATTTCACTCCCGGAGTGTAAACATTATCAGCATGGCAAACTGGTCGTCATTCTTTCGAAGCGGTTTACTTCAAACGCACATTTGAGTAGGATACAGAGGTGTCCCACTCCACAACACACAGCGAGTAAACGACCAAAAGTTCAACCTTGAATTAGGCTAAAACTTGTCTCAAATGAAGAGCATAAAAAGGTGATAAAAAGTCACTGTCTTGTTTGGTATTTTTTTGTTAAAGGTTTGTCCAAAACCTATCCCTAGCACTCAGAGACGCCAAAATGACATTTGGAGTCGTACTGAAGAGTAAGAAGAGGGGAGACGATTAAGGTTTAGAATATTAAGCGCGTATTATCAAACGAGTAATTAGTTCAAACGACAACCATGTTCTATTAAAATACAGAAACTTTTTCTCCGTGCATTTCTCGGTGCAAATCAAGACAGTTTAACGAGTGCATTAGATTTTTTTTTTGTTCAAGGACAAATGGATTCATTCTTTGTTAGGCATTTATTCATTAACACAAGGTACAATTACTATGGATACACACACTGTAACTCAGGTATTATTTAAAGGAGCTAAATCTCTTATATCTGGGACCTAGAAATTGACACAAATGGGTCGCAACGCATATAATAATGTAATATGAATGTATATAAACTGATTTACATTCAATGGTTTCTGTTTTTACTCTTAATTTCTAATCAGTTCGGCGAAATACACCAGAAGTCTCAATCAAATGACAATCTCTAGCATCTGGATATTCCAGTCTACACTTATAGTATTTATTGCACATGCTCTCCAGATAAGAAAATGACATCACCGTTTGACTTGACTTGTGGAATATGTCTAGCCTCGTTCTTCAAATCCCTTGTTACAAATGGCACTGAAACGCATATTATGATACACAATTCGTGTACCAATGGTAAAATGTTTATTTTGTCTTAAATATTGGATATCAGAAGCCCATCTTTTCCCGGTAAGATTAAAACATCAATGTTGATTTAAATTGACAAATAATTTGTGTTTTCAATGTCAAGGGCTTTGGTTGATATTGAGTTAGAGACTTAGCTACTTTAATCTTATGTATTTTGCACTAATTTCTTTTACATTCGTTTAATTTCAAAATCATCTAATTTGTACTTGTGTCCAGTTTAAAGCTGACTGATTAGTTTTGATAATGAGTGTCCAATTTACAAGTATTTAATCATTATACATCAATAATCAATTGGGTTGTTTATTTTAAACAGTGGTCAAGAAATTAAATACTTGTAAATTGGGCACTCATTATCAAAATTGAATGGTCCGCTTTAAACTGGACACAAGTACAAATTAGATGATTTTGGGTGATTTTAAATGATTTTTGTGATTTTTTAAACTAAGATTTGATATTAAACGAAAGTAATGAAATTAGTTCTAGATACACAAGATTAAATGATACCCGGGTTACGGTGAAATTACTGGTACTTATTTGTCTTCTTCGTCTTCTATTAGTGTTTAACGTCCGCTTCCACCGAGGGTGGGGGGTTGGATGGCCGATTGGTTAGCATGTGAGCGCTGTATCATAAAGTCGGTCATTGAGTCAACTTTATAGAGTCTCATTTACTTGATAAAGATGAAATTATCCTTGTCGAAGAGAGAGAGAGAGAGAGAGAGAGAGAGAGAGAGAGAGAGAGAGAGAAATGGGGTTTAACGTCCACTCGACACAAACTAGGTCATTTCGGGACTAACATATGGTTTAATTTTATTTCAATAATTCGCTTGCGCGTAGGGGTCTTTAGCAGTGGGAGGAAACCGGAGGACCCGGAGAAAACCCACGAGGTTGGACAGGCGACCCTACTCCTTGTCACGTACAACCGGGGATTCGAAACCACGCCAGTCGACTCAATGACAGACTTTATGGTACAGCAAGCGCACGCTAACCATTCAGCCATCCAACCCCCCCCTGATTAAAACAAAGATCCTATTATAATGGTGTGATAATCTGCTATCGCTAATATAATTAATGCTTCTTAAATTAACCACTTTAAGGTCAACTTCCTAGCAAGTCGTTAACCTGTCACCACTTTTCATGCCGTCATTGGTAACGACATTAATCCCATCTATTGTTTTTGTTGATTTATTATATTGTTTAATCTTTTGTGCATTGTTCATCTATCGACATGTCAGTTTTAATTACATTTACTTTTATCTTTTTATCTGATTTTCCTTAAATATTACAAAATTTGTACATTGAATGCAGTCACTAAGTGCAGTAACTGACCTGTCAGTACTGTATGACGATATATGTATATTTATTTTCCGGTATATTAAAGAATTGAAGAATCATTCGAAGTCTGATATATCCGAAGAGAGAATTTACACCTCTAAACTATTTTTCATTTTTATAGTTCAAAATTTCGTTTTACTTGTCTTTACTACACTAGGATCTGGAAGAGTTGTTATCATTGACGTGTTCTGAATGATGTGAGCTATTAGCCAATGAAGCAGTCTGTTACGGCGAGCTTTAGGCTTGTTTTGAATGGAAATGTGGGTAATCCACAAGTAACATTAATGCTGATAAATTAATCAAATGTCTGAAGTCATAGGGTCAAAAGCCGGTCATATGACCTCTGACGCAACCTATCGCTACAACCGGTCAGATCTTCAGGTAGTGTAGGCCATCAAAAACTTAAAAAAACGAAACGAAATATAGATCTGTATGACAATCAGATTGCAATGCTTCACACAGGATTTGAAAAGAATCCATTAAAAAGCCTCCATCGTGTTCACAAGCCCAATTGCTGATGGAAAGATTGATAGGATGACGACATAATGCGCCCACACTAAAATATCGCGCATAATAATTAAATATACGCATGTCATTGCTGATAGAAAGATTGATAGGATGACATAATACGCCCACACTAAAATATCAGCGTATAATAATTAAATATACGCATGTCATTGGCAGTGTTAAGATCATGTGTCTGTTTCATAAAATATGCTTGCGCACAGGGGTCTGTAGCAGTGGGAAAAAACCGGAAGATGCAGGGAAAACCCACGAAAAAGGTTAGATAGGCGACTGTTATAAAGCGGTGGAATAAAATCCATGCCAACTGACTCAATGACGCATCTTTTGATCCAACACGCATTTAACCATTCGCCCACCCAAACGCCCATGCCACAGTTATAATACATATATATCACCGTGGTGATTCTGATGTCATCGGACTGCAAATGGAACATTAATATCTGCAAGCTGCTATATCCAATTAGAAACCTTGTCTCTTCAAACAAAACATATCCACGTTTGTACTAAAACTACTGTTATTTTGGTAATAGTGACGTCATCGGATATAAAGTGAACATTAGTATCTGAAAACTGTTATATCAATTAGTAGACTGACAATTTCACGTTTCCTTTTAAAATATAAATTAAATACGTGGTGAAAGACAATATAAAGGTTTGTGTGTGATTTATTTGGGTATTTATACTTTACACACAATACAGGTAAGACCAGAAAGTTTTTTAAAACTTATTTCCGAAGATTTTTTTCCGTCAGGACATTGACGTCATTGGATCTCTTCTTCTACGAATTGCTTGTGACAATACATCAACTATGAATTTATTAAACATAGAATAGGGGGGGGAGGGGGGAGGGGGAAGAGAGAGAGAGAGAGAGAGAGAGAGAGAGAGAGAGGGAGGATCATTTTGGTACTACCATATGGTTAAATCGAAACCATGCCACTTGATTCAATGACAGGGGGGTTTGATGGCCTATTGGTTAGCACACGCGCGCTGTATCATACAGTCTGTCATTGAGTCAACTGGCAGGGTTTCGATTCCCCGGTTGTACGTGACAAGGAGTAGGGTCGCCTGTCCAACCTCATGGGTTTCCTCCGGTTTCCTCCCACTGCTAAAGACCCCTACGCGCAAGCGAATTATCAAAATAAAATTGAACCATGTGTTAGTCCCGAAATGACCTAGTTTGTGTCGAGTGGGCGTTAAACCCCATTTCTCTTTCTCTCTCTTGATTCAATGACAAAACCTCTCGTTAACTGATCTGCCACCCGACACCCTCGCTGCCTTTTAAATGAAATGGGGGTTTAAAGTCCTGCTGTTCCATCCCAAGCATCTTTGTGCCTTTATTATACCGGTACCACTGAGGATTATGTTCTTTGTCTTTTGGATTTCCTTCCAATATATATCAATTGTATAAGCGGAATTTAGTAAATGAATGACAAGTTACTTTGTATACTGTATAATTGTCATGTGTTATAAAATATATACACGAAAAACAAAATGTCTGAGCACATCTATAATTAAAAATACCAAATAATATTAGGGCGAGTGTTTATCTGTATATTTAGGTGTTTTATACAGAAAATCAGTTTCTTTTAAGTTTTTTTTAAAAAATTTTATTTCTTTATTTTCTTTTTGTGTGTGTGTGTGTGTGTGTGTGTGGGGGGGGGAAGTGATAGGTTGATCTGTCTATTAACTTGAGAGAGAGAGAAATGGGGTTTAACGTCCTAGACACAAACTGGGTCATTTCGGGACTAACACATGGTTCAATTTTATTTCAATAATTCGCTTGCACGTAGGGGTCTTTAGCAGTGGGAGGAAACCGGAGGACCCGGAGAAAACCCACGAGGTTGGACAGGCGACCCTACTCCTTGTCACAACCGGGGATTCGAAACCACGCCAGTAGACTCAATGACAGACCTTATGATACAGCACGCACGTGCTAACCATTTCAGCCATCCCCCCATTAACTTGAACCATTTATATTTATAGAATGAAGTGTTTATTAACTTGAACCGTTTATAGAATGAAGTGTCTATTGATTTTTAGTTTAGCTGTTGTACTGTTTAGTGAACAAGGAGAGACAGGATGGTGGAGAAGAACTGGTGACTGGTTGAATAAACCAGTTAAAATACCGTTTGGTAAACGAGATGCATCATTTACTGACCAAATAGATGATCCGCAACTATCACCAGAAGCGGTTGCAGCAGTCTCAACACTGTATCTTGAAACAGTTACGGAACTATTTGCTGTATTTGATACTAACAGTAAGTTTATTAGTACTATAGGTCCACAAAAGTATTCCCACATGACTTCCATCTTAAAATCACTACATTGGTTACCCATAGAAGCCTGGATAACTTTCCAGATTCTAACACTGATTTGTATGTGTCAACATAATCTTTCTCCTTCTTACCTCAGGATCTCATTCAATCATATCAACCAAATCGACCACTTTGCTCACAAAAAAAACCCTTATTGGTTGTGCTGCAAACTGAACTGAAATCACGGTGGCTAAGTGGCTACGAAGCTGGCTTGCAAAGTTTCCCTCATAGTACACTGTCGTAAATCTCTAAAACTGAATTCTAATGATGTTGTGTTTCTCTAATACTGAGTTCTAATGATGTCGTGTATCTCTAATACTGAGTTCTAATCAAGTTGTGTATCTCTAATACTGAGTTCTAATCAAGTTGTGTATCTCTAATACTGAGTTCTAATGATGTTGTCTGTCTCTAATACCAAGTTCTAATCAAGTCATGTATCTCTAATACTGAGTTCTACTCATGTTATGTGTTCCTAATATCGAGTTCTAAACATTTTGTGTGTCTCTAATACCGAGTTCTAATCATGTCATGTATCTCTAATACTGAATTCTAATCATGTCGTGTATCTCTAATACTGAGTTCTAATCATGTTGTGTATCTCTAATACTAAGTTCTAATCACTGAGGGAGTCATGGTGGCCCATTAAATAAGACGCTGGCTATTGAGTTCTAATCATGTTGTGTATCTCTAATACTGAGTTCTAATCATGTTGTGTATCTCTAATACTGAGTTCTAATCATGTCATGTATCTCTAATACCGAGTTCTAATCATGTCATGTATTTCTAATACTGAGTTCTAATCATTAAGGGAGTCACAGTGGCCCAGTAAATAAGGGTCCGAGAAAGTTCCTTGTAATATTCCAGCATGGTTCCCCCTTGGCAGTAGTATAGGAAAGAAGACCTGGCAAAGAACAATATCTAGTCATTCGGGTGAGATGAAAAAACAGGTTCCATGTACATATTGGCATGCCCGTAAAAGACCCTTTGACAGTTTGGATTTGAAATAAGAGTAGTACGTAGTGGCGTGGGCCGGGCAAAAATTCCCTCATTCCCTTATAGCACACTGTATGGCGTATGTCTGTCTTCATTAGCCCAGTTGGAGCACAACAGTAAGACCTCATTTCATTTGTAATCATTGACTGTAATTTTCTTTAGATCACAATTAATTTTTATATTACAGATGACAACCTGTTAAATATTGAAGAATTCACTGCAATGGCTGAATCCCTGGCCGATGATAACTAAATATACTGAACAAATTGGTTTTCCTCATAACACGAATTGTATTGAATTAGAAAATAAACATTAAATTTTATTCCTAACTTCAAAACGCCTCGCCAATATTTATAAAAAATGTATTGTATAAGGACATAACACGCTTTTAAAAAGTATTTTGCCTAATTATAGTCGTTAACGGGTGGCTCCTGCCCCAACACCCTACCCCACCTGCCACCCTCTACCCCTGCCGCACCTGCCCCCACCCCGCACCGTCCACCAGCAATCCTCAATGTATTGAAGTAAAAGTTTATAGTTCCTTAAATTACGACATTGCATTACAAATTGGGGAGCCACGGTGGCTAAGTGGGTAAGACGCTGGCTCGCTTGCTTGGAGGTCACATGTTCGATCCCTGCATTGATTTGAGAAAGTTCATCAGGATTTTCTGCCATGGTTTTCCCTTGTCAGTGGTGCCAGAAGGAAAGCCTGGCAGAACAGCTGTCTAGTCATTCGGATGGGACAAAAAACTGAGGTCCCGTGTATACATTGGCACATAAAAGATCCCTAACTCACGGACACAGGGAGATCACGCTGGAACATCCTGATGAACTTTCTCGGCCAACGCAGGGATCGAACACCGAACATCCAGGTTAGCGAGTAAACATCTTACACACTGACCCTTTGTGGCTTCCCACTAATAGAAAAAATATGAGAACATTAAATTATGTATGAAGGTAAAGCATACGCTTGTAAGCACTCTTTTGGTAATTTATATCCGAGAGAGGGTTTGATACAACTACAGCAGTTTTATATAGTGGTAAATGTTTTACATTTTTTGAGAGAGAGAGAGAGAGAGAGGGAGATGGACAGTTTAATGTCCACCCGACACAAACTAGGTCATTTCGGGACTAACATATGGTTCAATTTTATTTCGATTATTCGCTAGCGTCTACAGGGTCTTTAGCAGTGGGAGGAAACTGGAGAACCCGGAGAAAACCCACAAGGTTGGACAGGCGACCCTACTCCTTGTCACATACAACCGGGGAATCGAAAACCATGCCAGTTGACTCAATGACAGACCTTATGATACAGCGTGCACATTCAGCCATCAACCCCCACTAGAAAAAATGGGAGGCCATTTAATTACGTATGATGGTAAGGCATACTCTTGTAAGCACCCTGTTGGTAATTTATCTCTGAGAGAGGGTTTAATCTAACTATGGCAATTTTATTTAGTGGTAAATGTTTTATATTTTTATAGAAAAAATGTGAGACCATTTAATTATGTATGATGGTAAGGCATACTCTTGTAAGCTCTGTGTTGGTAATTTATATCTGAGAAGGGATTTGATCTAAGTACAGCAATTTTATATGGTGGTAATTGTTTTAGAGTTTTATAGTCGTTTGATGTTGGTCATTTCTAAACGGATGATATATCTATTGGTAATCACACTTGTCATATCTATATCAAAATCAGCCGTATAGCTCGGGAGTCACTGCGTCCCAGAATTTAAATAAAATAGCCATAAAATTACATATCAAAGAGAATCTGGTGACCCAGTCAAAACTACAAACAATCATGTATCTTCAGACATCTTGATCCAGTTCTTGACATGGTTCAGTATTTGATTGCTGTCTGTTCCCTATATCGAGACTTAATTAATGGTTTATATTTTTGGAAACCTGCCCTTTAAATGGATGACCGGGCTACTTTTATTGATAGAGCAAGGTCAAGTTAACATTAAATCTTGATGGATTGATAGAGTATATAAAAATCACCCCGACCGGATATCTCTTTTTAAAAATGTTATTTTTTCATAGTTTGTGATTTCCTCTCTCGATCTATTGAAGTCTTATCGTAATGTCAATATTGAAATAAACTGATTTCATCAATATATTTTGTCATTTATTTTTCTAAAACTGTTTTGTTTGAGTATGATAAGAGAATTCAACTTTTTTTAAAAAAAAAAAGTATTTCACTATAAAAAAACAAGAAAACGAAACGAGAGAGAGAGAGAGAGAAAATGGGGTTTAATGTCCACTCGACACAAACTAGGTCATTTGGGGACTAACATAGTATTTAATTTTTTATTTCAATATTTCGCTTGCTCGTAGGGGTCTTCAGCAGTGGGAAGAAACCGGAGGAAACGGAGAAAACCCACGAGGTTGGACAGGCGACCCTACTCCTTGTCACGTATAACCAGGGATTTGAAACCATGCCAGTTGACTCGATGACAGGACTTATGATACAGCACACTGCTAACCATTCGGCCATCCACACCACCCCCCCCCAAAAAAAAAAACGAAACAAAATAGGATCTGTGTTTTAATAAGATTATGTTCATCTACTGCTATTTATTAAAAAGAAGTTCACTGTTTCTTTTCATAAACAATATTGACAATCTATCAGGGACAGAAAAAATGAGCAATTCACTTATTCATAAAGAAAAAATAATTATTTTTCTTTGGCAATTTAATCACTTATAAATTAAATAAAAAATAATGCATATTTTAGCTATTAATAATCAAAGAATTATTTTTCCTTTTCCTAAAATTATTGACAATTTGCCTATTCATATTCAATAAATAAACCATTTTTCCTTTTCCCAAAAATATTGACAATTTATTCACCTATTCATGGAAAAAAGAAAGAATTATTTTTACCTTTCATTAAAAATATTGAAAAAAAAATGAAAAAAATAATGAACATTTCACCTTTTCACAATGAATTATTTTCCCCTTTTTTGCATAGATAAAAATAATGCTGATTTCACTTATTCATTAAAAATTTATTTTTGCTATTCATAAAATGGCTGAGAAAGTTCTTTGGGATTTTTCTAACATGGTTTCCCATGTCATAGGTGCAGGACGGAGGGTCTGGCAAGGACAGCTATCTAGTCATTCGGATGAGATAAAAAACCAAGGACCCGCGTAAACATTGGCGTGCACGTAAAAGATCCCTTGACAGTTGGAATTTTAAATAAGAGTAGGCCGTAGCACCGCAATCCAGGCAAAATTTCCCTCATAGTACACTGTATGGCGTATGTCCGTCTTCATTAGCCCAGTTAGGAGCAGAACAGTAGAACGTTAAGCCTCATTACATTTCATTTTCATTTCTATTCATAAAAAGGTACTGTGTTGACAAGAATTTGTTGTTCAGTGAATTGAACGACAGAGATATTGCTGACAAATTGTCTTATCTTTTTTTAATACTATATCTTGGTTTGGTGCATGCATGAGGGGGGTGGGGGGTGATTCTTTCCTCTGCTAGGAAATGAGACTGTGCCCCTATCTCTAATTCACATATTCTTACACCAGGGATCGAAACCACAACCGCAAACCAGAGGTGACCGGCCAGATCAATACTCTTTAACACTAACATTGGTAATAAACCTAGTTTTATTTTAAGCAGGTTTTTAAGGGTTATCCTCAAGAGGATGGTCATTCATGATATCATTACTTTTTCTCTCATCAAAACTTTCTCATCTTATTATCATGTAACTTTATATTATCACCTCTTTTATCATGTATGATATGTCTATTGGAAAAATAAATAAATAAATAAGCCATCCCAACCACCAGTAAACCTGATTCCATTTTATTCAGATGGATGGGAGCCCGACCCCCCCCCCCCGTTTCCTGTTGAGTGAATGTTAAACACTCACACTGTCATCCATTGCCCTAACCCTCGACTACCACAGCCCCCTTGCATTGAGTGAATGTTAAACACTCCCGCTGTCATCCATTGCCCTAACCCTCGACTACCACAGCCCCCTTGCATTGAGTGAATGTTAAACACTCCCGCTGTCATCCATTGCCCTAACCCTCGACTACCACAGCCCCCTTGTGTTGAGTGGACGTTAAACACTCATGCTGTCATCCATTGCCCTAACCCTTGACTACCACAGCCCCCTTGTGTTGAGTGGACGTTAAACCCTCCCGCTGTCATCCATTGCCCTAACCCTCGACTACCACAGCCCTCTTGTGTTGAGTGGACGTTAAACCCTCCCGCTGTCATCCATTGCCCTAACCCTCGACTACCACAGTCCCCTTGTGTTGAGTGGACGTTAAACCCTCCCGCTGTCATCCATTGCCCTAACCCTCGACTACCACAGTCCCCTTGTGTTGAGTGGACGTTTAACACTCACGCTGTCATCCATTGCCCTAACCCTCGACTACCACAGTCCCCTTGTGTTGAGTGAACGTTAAACACTCCCGCTGTCATCCTATATGATGATCGTTTGTTTGTTGTCAAATTGTTGTCTGTCGTCAAACACAAGATGTCTTTTCCTGTTATTGATCGGTCCTAAAAAAATGGCCACCTATTTTGTGACGAAACCTAGTCGTTGATTGATGATACCATTTTGTATTGTCACCATTTGTTACACGTTATTGTAATGTTTGAAGTGTAAACAAACAAAGAAAAAAAATGTTGTCAAAAAAAACTAAGAAAAACAAAAACAACCATGAATGATAACATTGAACATTCATCACTTTAAGAATTTTTCACACTTGGACTGTGGCAAAAAAATATCCTTAAGGTAAAATAAAATGAAATGGGGTTTAACGTCCTACTGTTCTGCTCCAACTAGGCTAATGAAGACGTGTATATGCCATACAGTGTGCTATGAGGGAAATTATGCTCTGAAAGCAGAGCTATGGCCTACTCTTATATCAAATATCAACTGCATGGCAATGTGTAGGCCTACACGGGACCTTGGTTTTTCGTACCATCAGTCTTGTATCGCTAACAAGGAGGAACCATGCCAGAAAATCCTGATGAAACTTCTTGGCAAACACAGGGATTGAACACGGGCCCTCCAGGTCAGTGAGCTAACGTCTTATTCCCTACTCAATATCATAGTCCTACTCAATATCAGTCATACTCAATATCATAGCCATACTCAATACCATAAACATACTAAGTATAATGGTCGTACTCAATATCACAGTCATTTAGTCATACTCAATATCATAGTCATACTCAATATCATAGTCATACAATATCATAGTCATACTCAATATCATAGTCATACTCAATATCATAAACATACTAAGTATAATGGTCGTACTCATTTAGTCATACTCAATATCATAGC